TCGGCTCGTTAATTTTGTTCGATAAGTTAACGAGCCAAACACGAACTAAGATGTGTTCGTTCGTGTTCGGCTCGTTTTTTGCTCGAAATACTATTGAGATGAACAAAGATTTATAATTTGCTCGTGTTCAGCTCATTAAGCAAACAAGCCGAACACAAACACACTTTTTGAGCTCGAAATATAAACGAGCCGAATAGGAGCGAGTCGTGTTCGGCTCATTTACACCCCTAACCATAACTTATGGATCAATATTTTCTAAACCCTAAACTCTAAACCTCAAGGAAACATTTTCAAACTATTGTAGCTGCCGCAAAAATAAGAAAAACCTAAATCTCAAAATTTATTTGGGTCATTTATATACATACCACCCAATTCTTATGTATTTACATTTCAAACATAAGACTTTATCTTTTATATTTATACCACGTAAATGCTTCATATCATACAAAGAAAACCACCAATTTTAACTTTCAAAAAGAGTGATACACAATTTCACGCATAAAGAAGAAAAAAAATTGTGTACTTAAGACGCACACAGAGCTGTGTACGTCAACAACCTACAAATAGATTACAGGGAGGGTATTGGAGGATTATATCTGCATTATACCCCCTATAACCTACTGTAACCTACAAATATATGAAAATAGAAGTGCAGAACTTACTAGAAGGTACAAATAAGTTACATGAAAGTTACGAAACGGTTATAACCTCTCAATACCCTCTCTATAACCTATTTGAGTTTATATATGTAAATCTTTCAATTTATTTTCAAAAATTATTTTAAAAAATATAACAAAATTTCTAACAGTGAAAAAGAAAAATATTAATAAACCTCCACAAACAAGATTTTCAAAAATAAGACTTATATTAAAGATTAGGAGCATGTTTCACGCATGAGAAGAAACACAGCCTATTGAGGAGGAGACAGAAGAGTGTTTGTTCAGTATGTAGGCACAGAGGGATCAGCCTTCAGAGCATATGCATGAATTCCACCTGACACGTTAAACACCCGCTTGAATCCCTACAAAATTATTACAAATAATTAAAAAAAAATTAAAAGAAAAATATAATTAATTAAGGATTAAAAGAGGTTTTATGATAGGACATAGTTAATTCTTTTACACATCCAGATCCACATGAATGTCACGCTATAGTTTGGTATGAAGTGTCAAAATAGCCCCCAGAGTGTTTATATGAGGTTATAGAAAAACCCGAGAATGAGAAAAAGTCCCAAGAGATGTACTATGAAGAAAATAAGGAGAATTGCACAAATGAAACCACACTCAAACCTGTCCACACTTTGGAACACTTCAGAATGCTCCTCTCGTCCCCTTTGCACGATAAAAATTGAAATTCAATATACATTAGTTGGCAAAACCGAAACTTTAAGTGGAGAATTGCTGAAATTCGATTAATGGCTCGAGGTGCCACGATAGTAGCGCAATGACGCCTCGAAGGGGCGTTGGGGGCTCTGACTTCTGAGCATTGCAATGTCGTGCTCTAGGTTTTTGAAGCTAGATCAGGCGCAACTACACTATCATTCGGGCGTTGGAACACTGCTAGCTCGACACTGCTTATAGAAAAAATTTATTTTTCTTTTCCAAATTGAAAAAAAAAATCCTTTTGGGAACACCTCCCATGAGCCTTGACAAACTCACTGACAAGCTTAATCGATGAAATTGAGCTTCCAGTGAATCATTGATTGACACAATCAAATTGAAAATAATAGCACCAGACTCTTTAAATTTGGCTGAAATAATCTTCCGTTCAGACCATTTCAATCCATATTTTAGTATCAGGACTAAATTGACACTTTCATAAACATAAGAACTAAAATGACTCGTGCAAAGAGTCAGAAACTATTTTGACACTTTTCTCATATGGTATGGTTAGAATAATAAGCATACAAGTCATCTTCTTAGTTAGGGTGGAGATTAGAAGATAAAAATGCAATTCTATCTTTGTTTATAATTACACCTGACATTTCATTCAAATGTAAGACTCATTTTTGAAATACAAAGAGAACGGGCTACGCAAACTCAGTTGCATATCAATTTCATTCATACCACAAAAAATATCACTTTTTTAACTAAAAAAAAAAAGTGAAATATTTATGGTGGTATTATGTAAAAAAATGAAGCTAATGTGCTAGATATGTAAATACGTAAAGGTAAATCTTCACAAAAACAACAAATAAAAAAAAAAAAAAAACCAAAAACAAGATTGAAGAGCAAACAGTCATACAGATCTCCATAACTTAGAGCAGAATCAAGCAAGAACATTCTGAAGATCATGAGAAGTAACAATGGCCTATAGTAATATTAAATAAAATAATTAATTTAGAAAAAAAAAATTAGCTTTACCTGTGTCTGCAACCACTTCGCAACCTGCAAGGATCTGGCGCCATGGTGACACTGGCAAAAGCAAAAAAGAGCGATGCAATTTTAGAGAAAGTGCGAAGTGTTTTGGTAAATAGGCGAAACCTATTCAAATACAAAGAGAGAAAGAGAACAGAACATAAAAGAAAGAAGGAAAATTTAGAAACAAATCACACAATCCGTAAGTATTGACATATCTACACCTAAATTTTTGTATGTAAGATTTACATACATAACACTTAATTCTTATGAATTAACATATTTAACACCAAAGCTTTAATTTTTACATATATGCCACCTTCCCTATACATGAAAATGTGTATTTCACTTTTAAAAAACTAAAAAATTTGGTATTTTTTTATGTGATATCAAAGATTTGGGTGTTATAAATGTAAAAAAGTAGAGTTTTGGTGTTAGATATGTAAATATAGGTATGTATGCAAATGCCCCTTTTTATAATTATATTTATAACACATTGGAGTTATAAATTTATGCATGAGAAGAAGTATTTCATTTTTGAAAGGTAAGTAATAGTGGAATATTTTTATGTCATATTAAAGATTTTAGTGTTGTGTGTTAGATATGTAAATATACAAGGATTCTGTGGGATGCATGTAGATGTCCTAAAAAGGTGGTATGCACGTAGAATAAAATTTGGAGCATTTACATACATACCACAAAAGGTAAGTAATAGTGTAATATTTTTATGTCATATTAAAGATTTTAGTGTTGGGTGTTAAATATGTAAATATATAAGGATTCTGTGGGATGCATGTAGCTGTCCTAAAAAAGTGGTATGCAGGTAGAATAAAATTTGGAGCATTTACATACATACCACCAAGTTCTTACGTATTTACACATCAGGCACCTGAACTTCGATTTCCACATTTATACCACCCAAATTTTTTATATCACATAAAAAATACTACTATTTTAACTCTTAAATAGTAGTATTACCCTTTTCATGCATAAGAAAAGGTGGTAATATATGTAAAAATTGATGTTTAGGTGTTAGATATGTAAATACAAAGTGAAATACCCTTTTCATGCATAAGAAAAGGTGGTATATATGTAAAAATTGATGTTTAGCTGTTAGATATGTAAATACACGATAAGCATGTAAATCTTCCCTAAAATTTATACTACACAGCTTAACAATAAGGCAGCAACTAACTGCACGAAAAGCATGTAAATCTTCCCTAAAATTTAAACTACACAGCTTAACAATAAGGCAGCAACTAACTGCAATGACACCTATAGAGAAAAAGTTGGCCCTACGAAGGATACAAAACCAGTGCTGATGTATTTACACTATAAAAAACTATACAATATGGCATAAGATATAATATGAGGAAATTTACATACATACCACACAACTCTTATGTATTTACATAGCAGACACCCAAAGTTTGATATTTACACTTATAAAACTCTGGTGTCATAAATCTCTACATGAAAAGATATATTTCACTTCTAAAACGATAGTTTTGTGATATTTTTTATGTGATGTCAAGAGATTAGAGTGGTATGCAAGCAAAAAATAATGTTTAGGTGTTGATATGTAAATACATAAAGAATGTGTGGTATTTATGTAAATTCCCCTACAATATAATGATGTGATTACTTATAAAGTAAGAACTAACCATCACATACGTATCCTTTTCTGGATCAAACTCATCAGTTATGACAGATCCCCATGTTCCAAACTGACGAAGAGGTAGAACCTTGAAGCCTGGCAGAGAAGCTTGAGCTCTGTCATTACAAAAGAAGGCCTTTTTAACATTTAATGTCTCATTAAGCACAAGACCATAATTCTGTAAAAAATCTTAAAAAATTATCTAATTAAATATCTCACACCTAAACTTTCATATTTACACACAGGGCACTCAAAATTTCAATATTATATCAAAAATAGCACCACTACAAGTTTTTTAAAGTGAAATACACCTTTTCATGCATAGATTTAAAGCACCAAAGATGATATATCACCTTATGGTTCTTTTGAAGTTTTGCTAGTAAATTGATTCCTTAAAACATAATTTTTAAAAGGGGGTATTTACATACATACCACACAATTCTTATATATTTATATATCTAACATCAAAACTTTTATATTTAAATTTATAACACCCAAAACTTTAACATCATATAAAAAATTCCACCATCATTAACTTTGTAAAATTGAAATATACCATTTCATGCATAGGTTTAAGATAAAAAAGTGAAATAAGTATAAATATCAAAATTTAGGTGTTAGATATTTAATTACACGAGAATTGTGGTATGTATGTAAATTTCTCTTTTTAGAATGCAGGAATGTGTAAGAAGGTCAATAAGAAAAGTTAGCATACACTTCCTCGTGTTCGCGGACATCGATCAATTGAGCTTCGTGAATAAATTTGGGATCTTGCATTTTCGAATGGAGATCCACCGGTTCAATATCTCCCAGCATAGATTCTTCCCTAGAGACGATGGAACGCACAAAACATATAGATTCTAAATAGACAAAATAATATCTAAGAGGGTCAATTGGGAACACATCCGTATTTTATTTATTTTTTGTTTTGCTTTGTTTATTTTTTTATTTAAAATGAAATATATTTGGTATGCTATAACATGCTTGATTATTTTTACAAACATTCAAAATAACTCTTAAATGCTTTGAGTGCTTTTAAAAATAAATTAATTTATTTTTTAAAATTAAAAGTACACTAAACAAATATATTTTCAAAATAAAAGCAAAAAATAAAAAATAAAAACAAAAAATAAAAGTGATCCCCAATAAGGCCGAAGTAGATCATTGTGGTGGTTGTGACGGTCGTGACACATACCTCTCAGAGAGCACTTCCAAAAGGTGCCACCCAAATTCAGTTTTACATCGCACAACTTTATTCAAAGATGCATCGAAGGCTGCTTTTTCAAACTCCGGCACCTAGCAAGAATTACAATACTTATTCGACAAATGATTCGAGAAAAATATCATCAAGGATAACATAACAAATACAATACTTCGGCCTCAAGTAGACCAATGTCGCTTAGGACTCCAACCGAAAGAATTATGTTATACTAAACACAGCATAAAGGTAAATAGAATCTGTTATTTCATTATTTTCATTACTAGACCGCGACGTGAAAACATGATAACATAACAAATACACCAAAATTCAAATCATGTGGCATAAGAAGGTCATATTTTTAAATATAAAATTCGACATAAAAGCAGATATCATACAAGCCATTATTTTATAATGTTGCAGCATTTCGCCATATTAGTGAAGTAAAAAGTCTAAAAGGATGATATGAGAAGCGGAAATATAACGAGGCATTTACATGCATACATGCACGACTCAAATTTTTAACTGACATCAAAAATACTATCATCAATACCGTTTAAAAAGTAAAATATATATTTTCATGCATAGATTTATGACACCAAAGTATTAGAAGTGTAAATATCAGACATCAGGTGTTAAATATGTAAAAACATAAGAATGATGTGGTGTGCATGTAAATTTCCCAAATATAATTTGTAAGTTTACAGAGATAGAAAGACATTCAACAAAGCTAAAATTTGGACAGCTGCCACGGCATACCAATTGCCCTCTGCGAACCCAACCAAGCATCCCACCATTATCTTTTGAAGGGCAAATTGAATATTCCACAGCCAAATCACTCAAATCCTCACCTGAAAAAATGAATTTCATTAGCTTCGGGGGACTTAAACACAGGATATATATCGATAGCCGATAAATGTTTAGATAATAAAACATGAGCTATCAACAAGAGCACCATTTCTTCCAATGTTAAAGTAAAAAATAGATCAATAAAGAATGCTAATACAACAAAGTAACAAGGCTATCATATATTTCAAACTGTTTCAATTTTCCGTAGATCGTGAAAAAGATAACATGGCGTTGTTATGCCTATGCTTAGTCCAAGGGCAAGTTCGTCTTTGTATGCCAAAGGGTAATTTAGCCTTTTATTATTACTATTGTTGAATATAAATAGACTTATTATGATTAGGGTTAGGTTTATGCATCTGATTGAGCTGTGAGTCTTAGGCTTATGTTTTAGGAGAGATTTCCTACCTCTCAAATTGTAGGAATTGGGAGAGATCACCTACCTCTCGAATCTTAGGTGCTTATCCTTCAATTTCTTGTTGAGTAGTTTGATTTAGTGAAAAAATATAGTGTTCGTCCAAATTTTTCTGGAAATGCGTGTTGATTTTGAGGTCAGATCGTATCAGGCGCCAACACAAAAAAACATCGTCAATTTTAGCATCAAAGATGAAGCTTGGATATCCATAGCATATGAAGCATGGTTTGGCCATTTTATCTCTGAATGCACTCTTTGTTCATGTTATTAGTTAGGATCCCAAATTTCAATCTCTTCATGTCTCTTTCTCGTCACAATTTTTTAACATTTTTAAGTCCTCAATCCTAAGAGGGTGTTTGGGTGCAGGAAGGATTTAATGTTAGTAGGATTTAGGAAATCCGGATTTATTAAATCCACCCCCTCGTTGAATTTATTAAATACAGACTTAACATGAATTGAAGGCAAAATCCAGACCATAAATCCACGGAACTTGTGTATTTTTTATGTTTGGCTGGATTTAGTAAATCCAATGAACAAATCTTGTTAACAGGGCGATACCAAACACCCCGTAAAAAATTTTGAAGGCTTGGTGGTATCTTGTGTAGATATTTTGGTGAGTGCAACTCTTTTAAGAAGCTATTGGAAAAAAGCAAGAGAAACATGCAATGGGAGAATATGCACACACACACACACACACATATATATATATAAGAAACATCCCAAACATACCTCGAGCAATCCGTTGTTGTAGCTCCAACAAAAGCTTAAGATCGTTCTCTCCAACAAGTAAATGTTGGACCAGAATCTCCTTATTCTGTCCTACACTACTACCAGCACTAAACATGACTGCCAATGACAAAATTAAAATAAATAAATAACATTATAGCATGTGTACTATTTAAAAAAAAAACAAATTTACAAAATATAACAATATAACAGCCATAATTACATTGTCATGCCAAAATAATTACTCACGTCCATCCACAAGAGCAAGAATATGAACTAATTCACTAGCAAATGTCACACATATATACAAGCATATCACAAAAAAATGGTATTATCCAAATCTAAGTGAAATCCATCCCACCATAAAGAGAATCCCCATATCTTTCAACCTTAGCAAATAAATCCTCTTAATATAATATATAAATAAAAGAATTAGAGAGAGAGAGAGACGATGAGCTAATAAGCTCTATGAATATGGAACCATCATGCTTGCATTGCATCAACATATTTCATCATGGTTTTAAGCAAAATGGTGAAATTTCACATTTATCCTAAATCAATATAATTTAAATTTTGCAACTAGTAACTACTTCTCACTTCCAACTAAAGATGTCATCATTTGTACCTCGACGACCTTCGTGCAATAACAACAAACTTCGAGCTCATATACCTCTTGATAGTGTCAATATTTGTGCAAACCCATTGATAGATTGTGATGAAGCGCTTCTCATTGGCGCTAATCATAAAGTTCCAACATAAATCTAATCACCCCATCCTCATCACCATCGACACCATTCGTAAAGCCATCCTCATAGCTTTAATCATTTAGAATAATATCTCCATCAAAGATAATGTTGAGTCCTATGACCTCCATTAATCCTTTCATTATCACTAGAACATGACAAACAAAAGTAGATCACAAGAGCAGCATGGCTCAATTGATGAACACGATATTGGGCGCACGAAGATCAGTCTGCAAACTCCAACAACATTGATTATTGTTTCTGGCGAACAAAAATATCAAATACCAAAGAACCCTAACAAAGGGAAAAAAAAAACACTTCTCCCTCATTTAAATCAAGCATCCAACAGACAAGACCGAACAAGAATTGCTCATAAAACACAACAAGGCGACAACTTTCGAAAGAAAACATCAATATTTTGCTCTCAAAAACTCACCAACCTTTGCCTTGAGACCTTGGATTGCTCTCCATCGAAGGCGCTCGGCCGGAGAAGGGGAAACGGGGAGAGATTAATGAAAATGGATTGTGTAGGGTTTTAGAGGAGATGCGTCTGATAAGGGAGGTAGGGGATGGGTTTGAAGAACCAAAGGAAGAGAAAGCTCTGCAGGAGAGCATTGAGAATCTGCTAGTGGAAACCAAAAGCTGGGAGCTGGAAGGAAGATTTGGAGCTCTGAGCCTGAACATGGCTTCTCCCTCTCTCAAGCAAGCGGCTTACTTGGGACATTTTTTAACATGAAAGAAAATTGTGTAAATTCCCACTCAATTATGACAAATTTGTATAAAATAAATATTATAATTGATATTTATGCACACTTTATCTCAACATAAATGAAATGATATTTAATTTACTCAAGTTTAAACATTTTTATATGATTAAATTCAATGAAATCTGTTCAAATTAAATTCAAAATTTAAAATGATAATTTCTTTTAATTTTTTTATAAGTACTATATATTATTCATCAATTGACCATTTATTATTTTTTATGGGGGTATTAACATGCATACCACCTAATCTCTAAGTATTTACATAGACGACAACCAAATTTTGCATTTTACATTTATACCACTAAACCTTTCATATAGCATAAAAAATATCATTATTTTATCTATCTTAAAAAAAATACACACATCTTCTTTTCTTGCATATAGAAGGCGACTTATATATATATCTATATATATATATATATATTAAAGTTTAATGTTTGATATGTAAATTCATAAGAAATGAGTAATATGTATGTAAATCTTCTTTTTTATATTATGTTTGTACTATGAAAGTACATAAGATTAAATTGGCTCCCTTGAATTTGAACTTAAACCATTATAAATTTAGAAGCATGTTAAAATAAACCATAAATGGGATAAAATGACCCAAAATTTATTCTATATGTTTTAAATAAATATAATATATAAATAATTAACCATAACTTAAATTGCACTCTTCTTAAAAATATAATTAATTAATTTAAATTATTCTAATCACATGTTAATGGATATTTAGATATATTTATTTATTTTATTGGGTGGACTATTTAATAGCTTTCATATTATTGACAAATGGAAAATATAAATGATAATAATTAAAAATGCAATTTTTTGAAAAAATTTTCACATTATTTATAATATTCCACATAAGATTAATTCAAGAATTATGAATATATTTTGTTTTTCTCATAAGAGCTGTAAATTAAAAAATTTTACAAAATGTTCTGATTTCTAATGTAGAGCTATGTTCGGAGTCCACTCATATACGATCACGTGGAGGTGACAGAAAAATAAAAAAAAATCATTTTAGCACAGGGAAATATTCCTCCTGTGGTATTTCATATTATTCAAGTGTTATTAAGGTAATATTCATGTGTTATTGTGTTATGAGAATATCCTCGGTGTTATAATAACACAATAACACATCAATACCACCACAATAACACCTGAATAACGTGGAATAACATATGAGAAATATTCACTTGTGTTATCGGGCCGGATCATAGAAAAGCGCGTGCGTTTTTTTGAAGCCACATGTCCGCATATGAGTGGACTCCGAACGTAGCTCTACGTTAGGAGTCCTGATGTAATAATTTTCCTTTATAAAAATAGGTTTATATGGCAAATAAGTGGAGCATTGATTAAAAAACCCACTATTTTCAAGCTGGCTGTGAAAATTTTAAATTAATGATTAGATTTCTGGAAAAAAAATTTAATTGAAGATTTAAATTCATAACACTTAATTCCTAAGTACTAACATATACCACACCTAAATTTTAACTGTTATATATATATTGTCACTTTTTTTAAGTTGAATGATGGTGTTTTTTGAGTGATATGAAAGATTTGAGTGGATTAAATTTAAAATAAAATTTAGATGTTAGACATGTAAATACATGAGAATTAGGGGTTATGTATATAAACTCCTCGAAAATAAAAGAGAATTGTAAAAAAATATTGAAATATAGGGCCCGTTTGGGGCAGTTTATATGTGCAGCGACGTTTTGAAAACGCCACCTTAATTTTTGTTTCGCGCGTTTGTGGGGCGTTTTTTCAAACTGCGTTTTCTAATTTGTACTGCCCACGTTGATCCTGCCTCCGTTGCTACAATCATTCCGCAGGTAAAAAATTCTCGTCTCCTCTCTTCGATCCTCCCTCCACTCCCTCCTCTGCCGAAAGCCTTCTTGGCTGTTGAATTTTACGGTGAATCTTGAAGTATTGATATGAGATGGCAAAAAAACTAGATCCACTTTGATTAGAATGATCAAAGCTGGGAAAGATATAGATCTGATGTTTTAACGAAAACATTTGAAGCATCGCGAATTCCCGTGTTGTTCATGATTTTTCGGTTAGGGTGGTGCTACTGGAAAAAAATTAGTGAGGAGGGTTTCATGAGAGCATATACAAACAAAATTGTTCTTTACGGATTTGTTAATATATGCTAAAAGACATTTTACCATATACTAACTTTAGAACAGATTTTAAAAGCAAAATTTTTCTTTGCGAATCTGTTCATATTAGGAGGGTTTCCTGAGGAAAAAATAGCAGTTACTTGGAAATTGGGAAATTGCACTGATGTGTTCGTGCGTACCTGAAAATTGGGAAATTACAGTCACTTGCTCTAATGTTCTTTGATATTTTCGTAGCTTGAATTTGAAAAGTTTCTTCATTGTCCCATTTTTGTAATTCATGAAGAGTTCGATGGAATGGAAATGATTTTAAGGAACACAATCTTCATTGCAATAATTTCTTGAACAAGATTCTACAAAAAAAAAATTTCAGGTATTTTGGGAAATTGTATCTTGAGTATGTGTTTCTTTTTTATGAACATTTTCTAGAGAACGTTAAGCTTGCTGGAGAGACTCTGAGCATCAATCTATTGACATTTGCATGAGCCATGTATTTATCTATTGCATTATTTTTACTGTTTAGCTTCATGTACTACAAGCAATCCTATTGTGAATGTTGAAGAATCAACAATTTACTCCTCTACTGCATAAGGTAGACAAGAAGTTTTTGCATACCCAATTATTGTCTTGTTTTAGCTTCATTGTACTCTAATAATGGTGATGTATTAAGGATTGTTTGTATATCTTCTGAATACTATTAATTTCATGCTAGCTCTTTTCTGTCACAGTCGATATGAGTAAAGAATTTGGATCATCTGCCATGTGGGATAAAGAGACCACCCTAATATTTTGTGATCTCTGCCTGAGGGAGGTCGAGGTGGGTAATATATCGACCACTTAGTTTAATAAAGAAGTTTGGTTGAATCTTATGACTAAATTCAAGGAAATGACCGGAATGGATTACGATCGGATGAAACTAAAAAACAAATGAGATCAATTAAAAAAAGATTGGAAATTTTGGAGAGCTCAAAAGGGGCTCAACCGGATTGGGTTGGGATCCAATGAAACGAAAAATTGATGCACCAGAAGAATGGTGGGCTGAGAAATTAGGGGTAAATGCATACGTCACTTTACTTGTTACATCGATTTACACATTGCAAAAATTCCTGCTAATGACTCCTCTATTCTGTTTCAGGTAGTGCCAGCAGCCAAAAAATTCAAATTTAGCGGCATTGATCCAATTTTAGAGGAAAAGTTTGATGGGATGTTCATCAATGTTGTCGCTACCGAATATCATGCTATTACCCCAACTGAGCAAGATTTTCCAGGTTTAACACAGGAGATGGAAACCGAACATATAGGTGAGTCGAAAGAAGGTCCCAGCCAAATCCACACGGATGTTCAATCCACTGGCGGGACAAAGCGTCCTAGAGTAGAAAAGAAGAAAGTTGGAGCCGCATTTGTCAGAGATTCCATAGAGTCGCTACTTGAACCCTTCAAAGCGAAGCGTGCACCACCAACACCAGTACCAACACCAAATGACTGCTCAATTCAGAAGTGTCTTCAAATCCTAAATACATATCTCGATGTTAAGGAAGACAAATCTATGTATTTAAAATGTGTGAAGTTGCTAGGGAACTCCACTCGTAGACAGTTCTTTGCGAATTTGGACCCAAAATGCGAATTTAGACCCAGAATTCCGACTTCCTTACTTGCGATCTTTCATGAATGATTGATTAGAGTTGAAATTAGGTTTTATTTTAGTATCGATCATTATAATAATTATGTGATGGACTATTTAATTTTATGTCTTCTTTTAGACTTTATGTGAATGTTTCTAAACAATAGATTTTATGTTTATGTATTGCTTTTACTCTTACTATAGTATCTTTCCTATTACTTTAAGTTAATGTTTAACATATTTAAGAAAATATCATTTACCACATTTTGTAGAATAGATGAAGAACAACTTAACCACAACTGCAAAGTCACTCTCGCCCTTATTTTGCTATACTACTACTATCATACATATGTTGATCGAACCCCATGTATGACATCAAGTCATATTGGAGATAGATGGGTCAGGGAGTTATTACGGGGCCACCCAACAAGATTTGCCACCATATTCCATATGATGAAAGAGTTATTTTTTTATCTGCTAAATGAATTTCAGAACATTCATGGATTACACAACTCATCAAGAATAACTGCCAGGGAAGTATTGGCAATTACCTTGTATATTTTATTCTAAAATGAATCATTTAGAGGAGTTATGGAGCGATTTCAACATTCCTCAGAAACCATTAGTAGATATTTTTTTGTTGGTTTGAATGTTCTTGTGAGTTTGACATACAAGATAGTAAAACCCGAGGACCCAATGTTTCAGTCCATTCCTTCACAAATTGCAAATGACCCTCGATACATGCAGTTCTTCAAGGTACTTTCCCAACATAAATTTCATTTTCAAGATTAAAAATATAGATATTAAATGGTTATGGGGTACTTCTGAACCACAGAACTATATTGGAGCTATTGACGGAACACGCGTCGATGCACAATTGTCTCCTGGAGAGAAGGTCGCTTACATAGGATGGTGTGGATCCCCAACACAAAATGTTATGGTCGTGTGTGATTTCAATAAGTGTTTTACCTTCTTGATGGTCGGATGGGACGGTAGTGCACACGATAGTCGTGTTTTCAAATTCGCTACTAGCAACTGAGCACATGAGTTCCCTTACCCACCTCCAGGTACGCATATTTGACAAATAAATTTCATTATGTACTCCAATATCTAAATAACATCGTGCAATAGGTAAGTACTACTTGGTCGACGCCGGATATCCCTTACAGAGGGGGGGTTCTTAAGCCGTATCAAGATACAAAGTATCATATCCCAGATTTTGAAAGATCAAGCGATGTTGCACGTGGCAAGAAAGAATTATTCAATAAACGACATTCATCATTGCGAGGCGTAATCGAACGATCATTCAGAGTGTGGAAGAAGAAATGGGTTATATTGCGTGATATGTCCACTTATTCATTTTCGAAGCAGGTCCAAATAGTAGTGGCCACCATGACACTACACAACTTTATTAGAAGGCATCCCTCAAGAAGTGATACAGAACTTGCCGAGCTTGAAGCATATTTAATGCAAAATCCCCCCAAAGCATTCGAGTTCCATGTGGGATCCACCATACCACAGCTTGAAATAAATTCACTTGAAACAAACACTAGAGATGATGAAGGGGCATCAGAAATGACTGCTTTGAGAGAGCGAATAGCGGACGACATTATCCAAACATGTTAAGTAATGTATTTTAAAGTTTAGCTAAACAATTACGTATGCTTGCTTATATGTTAAGTAATGGATTTACATAGTTTATGTTGATATTATGGGTAAGCATTTCTGTAAGCACTATCTGTTGGTAGTAACCATTTCTCTTAAGTTTGGTAACTATTACTTCTCTGTAGTTTTTTCCTACTAAGTCTGTTTGGTGTGGTAAATGCATAACAGGATAGTATTTCCTGCAGGGTTCAATTAGTATGAGTAAAGGTGAATTATGGATTTTTGTGGAAAGATGCTATTATGTAATAGTTACCCGGGCAAGCATTTGTGTGGCTGCTATTATATGGCAACATTTGTATGACTGCTATTATATGTTGTAACTGTTGCTATATATGTCAGGGTGTCCCAATTTTTTTTTTTTTTTTACCTTCAAATCATTTTTGTGTCTTATCTGATGTACCTGAAGCTCTTTGCGTTGCTGCCACCATTTATGTGTAGAAAGAAGACTGCAAGGGAGTAATACAGACTGAAGGTATTTATCTTCTTGTTTGCTTCCTATCACATATAAGCATTTAATTATGCAGATGAATACAAGTTATTATGATTAATTGGCTTTAAATAGAAATTTATATTAGAAATGCATTTTTTTTTAGCCATTATTTGTTGGTGAGGGGTGTGACCACCTCTGGAATAATATATCTTTGACATCACAATACAAGTTCTAATTAACTTTAACTTGTGAGGCTTATAACTTTGGTGTCAATTATTAAACAAAATGGTATTTGTCCATCTCGTGCAACTTGGTGTGGCATCTATTTGAGGGAGTTCTAGCTTTTTGAACCATCTTTATTTGGTCAATTTGTTCCTGCTACCTTATGATGTTTCCAATGAACCCCTTAACATGTACCTGTTCCAGTGAATAGTGCTTATTTCATTCAGCATTTTATTAGAAAAAATGTGTCATTTCTGTTTTATTACTTGACTGCATTAGAATGGTAATGTGGTAGAGTCTATGCAATTTTGCATTAAAATGGTTGGACATTTATTACTTTCCATTGAAGATTGGTTGGAGAGCGTGGTTGTGAGCACATATTACAACTTCAAATCCTCTCTTCTATGCTTTTCTGGAAATCGTGGTTTTCTGAAAATCTTGGCTTTTGGAAACTAATGAGGCTAAGCATGTACAAATTTCATTGAACATAAAGGGTGTTCCTCTCATTGCAGCTTGGATGAGCCATCTTCTTTTAGGACAACCGCTGCTTCTACGACACAATAGTTGTTACCATCCTTATTTTTCATGTGATAGGCGTTAGTTTGCCTGTAAAAGCAGTTTCTTATGTGGTTCTATTAAAGGCCATGTCAAATATGAATGCTTATCAATGTTTTCTCTTTTTTTAGGCTTTTTAAGCAAGATAAATATATTATTGAATAGTTAATTGCTTTATGAATGACATTGATAAGCTAATAATCATCAATCAGTTAGATATAACAGTTGTAGAACATTTCAGTTACTGATGACCATTCACTCATATTAACAGGATATAGAGGGTGTTCGACCATAAGTTTTGTCAAATTTGCAAAATGAATTTTGTTTCATTGTTAAGCGATATAGAAAAGATTCTGATAAAGACTGTAATTCATTGGAAACTACCAGGAGTCATGCGAAAATAGAATCGAATGGGGTGCTGGTACCTGTTGCTTTGATTTTGCTTCCTTCTCCAAAATGCGCACTGCACCAAAATGCACTACAGTTAATGAAATTATGCTATTGTTGATTTATTGGAATCTCTTTTGTTCCATTGTGCATATTTGCTGGATATAAATTTCATCTTTAAATCTGGGATGGAGCCTGTTGGGTCTCATTATAATACATGGCTGCTATATATTATATAATGAGCTGCAGCTGTGTTGTGATGGCTTCTCATAGTGCTGAAATTGATTGACTTCTCCATACTTCGGTAAGTATATTTTCAATATTTCCTCAATTTTTTTACTAATCTATTCTCTTTTTATTAACTGCAGGACGATTAGTTCTAGATATTCAGAGAAGTTCGGGCAAGTAATGTGTCAGTGCGGGTTACCGACCTTGCTACTCATGTCATGCCAGCCACATAGCTACGGGAGACAATTTTACAGGACAGGAGGATTACATTTACTTCAGGTGGGCCGACAGTATGCCTCTTTCTATGAAATCCCAACAGGACACCGCTGCTCGGAGTTTGTCGGTATCACAATTTCAGAACACCGCTCTTGGTTCTAGTGCTGTTTCTACGGTAGCCTATTCAGATAGGTTTGCTCTGGGTTCTGAAGTGTCAGAGCCGGGCAGCATTGTCCGTGATATGCTGCTACATTTTAAAGTCAACATTATATTTTTTTCCTTGTAATTTTAACATGTTATCTTTTCTTCTTTTTTGGGTATCATTATAGTAAATATTAGTGTGTTAAGTTGTATTTCACTTTTGTTTAGGTAACTGTGTTTCTGTGATGTGATCTGAAATGTTTAAGTGATAAAAATATTTTGTATTTTCATATCTTAACATTTGAACTTTAATTTTAAGAATATTTTGTATTTTCATGTCTTCAATCTTCACATTTATCTCCCATTTATGATTGCATCAAGAAAGTTGGTAAATTTTTAAAAAAAATTGCAAATAAGCTGTTTACAAAACGCACGAACCAAACAGCTAAACAACTAATCCAGAATAGGGACATATTGGTCATTTATCCAGAATCAACTGTTCTCAAAACGCACTAACCAAACAATCAGTCAGCTTATCTTGATTAGCTGCTCATCAACAGATTATTAGAATAAGCTGCTTATCAGCAGAAGTTGGATAAGTTGCAGCTGCCCTAAACAAACCCATAGTCTTGCATTCATTATAACATTCCTTTTTCATCTACTACACCATATTTTCAATACATGCATACCACACACTTATAATGTATTCATCGCACACAGTGTTCGGCTCTCGTCTTTCTTCCTTTAACTTTGGTCACGACTCGACGCAACAAAGAAATGCGATGATACTTTTCTTCCCTCGAGCGCAGTGCACGGTAAGAAAACATACAACACCTCTCCTTCCTCTGCTCTCTGACTATACGCATGAAAGCTCCCGCTTCTCGTGTCATTTTATAGAGCAAAAATTGATCACAAAAGGTCTCTCAAATAGAAAGTGAAAAAAGATGGGATACCAAATTGATCAAAATTTGATC